CTATCTATCTATCTATCTATCTATCTATCTATCTATCTATCTATCTAGACAATTCGTCTTTAATAACAATGGTCCAATTCCTAATTAAAGTCAGTTATTTTGGTATGGTTGGTACTCACTCTTTGTCCAGCGGGCCCAGCAGGTCCAGTAGCACCCTGGTCACCAGCTTGACCCTAATGTAGACAAAGCACGGAGACAATAGGATAAAAATATCAAATCCATCAAAATAGATGCAGATATATCCAGAGTCAATGTCTGCTTACCGGGGGTCCAGGGAGACCCTGCAAACCAGTGAATCCTCTGTGTCCCTTCTGTCCTCTTTCACCAGACTCTCCAGCCTCACCCTTGTCTCCCCGGGGTCCTTGAGGTCCCTGAGAACAAGTGGAAAACATCTCAGTTGATGCAGGGTAAAGTGGGTGAATACAAAAACTGAATTAAATTCTTTCAGTAACAACTCTGTGCATGAGGGATACATACGGGCATTCCTCTGGCTCCAGCAGGTCCTGGAGGTCCAGAAGGTCCTTGTGCACCCTGAAAATTGAAAAGAAAAAAAGCGGGCAATGTACAGACAAAGAGGAGTAGCATTCTTAAAATCAAGTATATACATTTATCAGTTAACAGGAGGTTAGAGAAGGTTATTAGCTCTATTAAAAAAGATGGCCATCTTGATTACCCTAAGGATCTCATTTGTGTTCACTTGCTTTAAACCTTAATACAATGCACTGAATAAATGGTATGTAAATGAGGAATGCAATCATGTAGTCCAAGTTTTCTCTCAGACAACAGGTCAGTCAGGGATGAAACACTTGAGACATTCTTGTCTGTGCTTGATATCAGACAACATGCTAATTTTCAGGGGACAAAGTTTATCAGTTAAGAAACAGCAGCAGCAGCAGCAGCTTTTCATTTTTTTTATCTTAAAAGCCAAAACATTAAAAGGAAGAAATAACAAAAGTGGCATGTAGAATGTGACTTGTTTGACTGTTTAAGGGTTCTTACTCACAGGCTCTCCTCGGTCTCCCTGCTTGCCAGTGGGTCCCACTGGGCCCGATGCACCAGTTGCACCCGGAGCTCCTGGAGCACCTGCCGGCCCAGTGTTTCCACGGTCACCCTGCAGCACAGAAAACATAATTGTGATAAAAGACAAGTCGTAACAGCAGGGTCCCTGTTGTGTACCTTCCAGGAAGTAAAATAAGTTTGAAATAACAAAGTAATGTTTCACTAAGCCGATTCAAATGGCTGGAATTATTGGTATGCATTTAAAATTGCTTGAATTCACTCGTGTCACTAATGCTTTCAACATTTCCATGCGGACATGAAAAAATGTTTAAAAACTGATAATAGAACATGTTTAATTATGTATAATTAAGCCTTCTCACCTTGATTCCTGCAGAACCATCTCTACCAGGAGGTCCATCAGATCCAGGGTTGCCCTGTCAGATGGCAGAATAAGCATCAAGCGTTAAAAGCTTCTACATTACCCAAACAGATGTCCTACTGAATACAGATCAGCTACATAATGAACCCTGCTTCAACAAAACAAATTAATAATACAGTGTAAAACTGTGCAAATGTATACGTGACGCAAATTGTGATGCATATTTTGACTGCCTGCCATTCTTTAATGGCTGTGAGTCTATGCATGTTGCCGTCATGATGTCAAACACACAAATGCTGTGGGCCAGTCCTTTTTCTGACCTCTCTGCCAGGCTCTCCTGCAGGTCCAGTGAGTCCAGGTGGTCCAACAGGTCCAGGGGGTCCACGGTCTCCAGGACCACCAGAAGATCCCTGCTTTCCAGGCTCACCCTAGAAACAAAGGAGACATGTGTTCTTTAACTTTAAAAGAAATATTCTTAATTGTAAAACTTGAATAAGTGACCCAATGACAAAATTCTTATGTTTAATCACTCTTGGACTTTTACAATAGAACTGCATTACTCAAACATCCAAGTGAATGAACTTTACTGACAAATCAGAGAATAACCTGAACCGAATTAACATTGAACAATCAAGCCATATTAAGTCCTTGTCATAGTATTTTCACCCACATAGAAGATAGGTTTTTATAATGGAACACTTCCATACCATTGAGCAGTTGTCCAAAATCTAAAAATCCAAAATTGGTTTAGAGAAAACCTTTTTGAAATTGTAGATATACACTGTTTAATGTTTATTTAGGTTGATATTTAAGCTGTTGTATCTGCATTGTTACTTTGGATAACAGCGTCTGTGACCCTTAAGCCTGCTGATCCCTAAATGTGTCCGGAAGGCAACACTGCTCAATCATGTTAGACATCTTTTCTACATATTGTTAATGGAAAAAGCTGTTGGGTGCACTCTTCTTATACTATCAATTCCAACTTAGCAAAGCTCAATGGAAAGTGACAGTGAGTGACCCCAAAAATGTGGCATGACCAGGTTGTATCCTTTACTTTGCTTGTCTGTACTTTAAATGTAGTTGTTTAAAAAAGGTAAACATTGCACACAACCCCAAATGCTATATCAGGTGTCCAGAAAATAACAAAAAGTGTACAGCTCCATCTGTTATTAAAAGCATATTTCTTCAAGAGGTTATCTGCTGATTTCTGATCTCCCTCATGCACACAGATGAATAATTCATGGTAAGGACATGTCCACTGAGATGTTATAAGTAGGGGACATGGCTCATGTCACATATCAAATAGTGCAAGATGTATAAAGAAGAAACTGATGATGTACAAACAGATGGAATCCCAAAGAGAGAATTCCTGATGTGAGATTTGTTTAGATTCTCATTAAAGTAGCACACTGCTGAAATTCATTCATATGTTTCGGTGCTGGTTTTCTGGATTTACTTTCCTCATAGACTTAAATTCCCGCATTTTGCTCACATGGCAGATTAATAAATATTTATAATTAGCAGCCACAACTGCAGGGATGGTAGCATTTGCAGCATATCTGCAAGTGTGTCATCCTGGTAAATTGTGGCTGCAGAGACACTGATGCAGGAGCTCGTCTGACCCCTGAGTACAGAGTAAAAGGTGGTAAAATTGTCAGGGCCATAAAAATCATGTAATACCTTTGTGAGTCATTTGTTTGAATTTGTGTCTTATTGACTTTCTGCCTCCCCTTATAAGGAATGTGTCTGTTACTAGTTTAAGATACTCTTTGAAAAGGCTAAAAATAAAAAATATTCTATTTTTGCATACGAGTAATTCTTTAAGTTTTCTTTTGCCAAATCTTGGAATAAACTATTTCATGTATACAACTCTTTGTAAGAGGCCAGGATAAGATATTAATTCCTTGACTTCTTTTTTCTGCCTTTAGGAGGAGAAAGATTATTAGCAGCTGCTAGATAAATCATAACTGTTATATATGCTGTTAAGTCAGTTAGTTCTAAAGACAGTCGTGTCTCCAGTACTCTTCTGTATTGGGGTTAGTGTGATTCCATCTCAAAATAGTCTGTAGTTTCAACTGTGTTGTTACTGAAATTACTGGGGCAGCTTTTCATGTTGAGAGATGCCTCATATAAATTTGGAATATCTGGAGACGTTTTTCTTCATTTAAGCATTATACAAAAATGTTACCGTATAAAGACACTGTAAAGTAGCAAAACCAATGAGTGGTAAAGAGAGTAACATTGTTCGTCCTGTCATGATGCCATGTTTTGCAGGGAAAACCAGCATCCTGGTATTCACAGGGATGCTAAATTGACACTTGCCTCCCACCTCAACATCTTCCCTCCCCCAGACACCAGTCTAAGATCTAATGATGTCAGAAGCAAAGACAATGCACCAAGATCTCACTTCACAACCCACAGTATCACCATGGGCTACTGGAGAATATGATGGCAGAAATTCAGACCATCTGAACTAAGTAATTGACATCTCAGCCACAAATGTCTTTTTTGAACTGTTTGAATGAAAAATTTATGTTACGTACAGAAGGTCCAGGCAGACCGGGGAAACCTCTTTCACCTCGCTGACCAGGGAGACCAACAATACCGCGCTGACCAGCCAACCCTTGAGGACCTGAAGGACCGGGAGGACCCTGGAAGGAAAAAAAAGCAAAACAACTTAGAAAAACGGTGCAAACACTGTTTTGGGTCAATTTCTTTTAATTACATTAATATTTTCACACACTTTATTCTCTATTATTTCTTTAAGGAACAATTTGTCCAAAGACATGGAATCAGTCCATATCTTTTATGTTTTGTTCCAGCAAAGATTTTGTTCCCAGTTTCAGTAACACATTTGAACATTAAGCTATACTGTCACCTTTCTGTCTACAGCTTCCTCACATCAACAACCTGTTGCGTCACAATCTCCTACCGTACCCTGAAACCATGTTCAAAATGAACAAATGACTCTAAGTGACACCTTATTCACACCATTCTGTGAAAATTATTTGAGGTGATTTTCCAAGATGTGCAATCTTTAAACACAGGGTGAATTCTATAAGAAGGAGGGCTTTCAACACAATAGCTATATAACTGTTTGAGTAGGCTATGATCTTTGCTACAGGATGTCATTATCCTGACAGGAATTGTCACGTGTTTAGAACGGGTGCATGTGTGCAGCTGGGAGTGTCGGGAAGGCAAAAGACTGGGATCCAATCATCAGGCTGTCACTGGATTGTGCTGTCCTGTGCTGTCACATGTCTTGGTCTGCCATTACAGGAGGCGATGGACACTGACACCTCTGTGTGTTAATGGAACATGTGTCCATGACTGATAATATTCTCTCTCTCTGGGCTGACAGAGATGCATAAAAAAGACAGATACATAGAAAATAAACACATCAAATCTCTTCAGGGTGTCTTTTTAGGGCTGCTTTTCAAGCCCTCACATGTATCGGCATGTGGATGGAGTATTTCAAGCATGACAAGGTAAATAAAAAGAGAGATTATTTCAAATGAGGTGTATCATGTTGAGGAGAATGGAAAACTCACAGGAGGACCATCTTCTCCAGCATCTCCCTTCTCGCCAGGAGTCCCAGCAGGACCGCGGAGCCCAGCGTCCCCCTGCCTGCCCGGTGGTCCACCATCTCCTCTCACACCCTTGGGCCCATCTTTACCAGGAGGGCCGGCAGGACCAGCAGGTCCAGGATTACCCTTAAAAGAGCGGAGGGCCATGCATTAAACAAAATTTATAAAAAGTGACATTTTATATCTCATAAAAGTAACTCTGCTTATCACAAATGTGATCCTCACTGGATCATAATTGTGTTGTTTTGTTATCTTGAGAAAACACCTGTTTTCATAGTTTATTGTTGCTCTTAAGACAGTTATACAGAAAAAAACATTATTATTCTAAAGCCCCCATATATAGAAGGATGCTGATGCACAGGGTTATAGCTTTATCATCTTTACAGCTCTAAATAGCTTCTGTTAACACATATATTGTATCTATTATCTGGGTACCAGCATCAGATTTTTTTTGTATGTTTCACCTTCTTTTAGCAAGGTTGTACAAATATTCTAAACAAGCTGCCTTTGTGTTAGACCAACTGCTTTGGAGACGTGTGGGTGCAGGAACGGTAAGAATAAGTGCATTATAGTTGCTTCCAATGTGAAAACAAGTCTCCTGGCATTTGGAAAATTATTCCTATAACTGTTCCACTGCAACACTTTTCATTCTGTTGTTTTTCTTATTGATATTTGTTTTTTTGGCCAAAACACAATGTGCACAACTGAACCCTACCGGTAAGACAGGCTTTGTGGTCAAGTTATCAGGGACTTGAACTTACATTGGGACCAGGAGGTCCAACTCGGCCAGCAGCTCCAGGGAAACCAGTGGCACCCTAAGAGAGAAAGATTCATTCAGGCAAAGCCAAATGCCATTTCTGCACAGTGATGGTTTTAGCTATCAGTTAAAAATGAATCTATAAAGCATTTTCGAAGACTTGAATATGAGGCACTTTATCTCCAATTAAAACACCATTAATTGGTTACTTACAGGAGGTCCCTGAGCACCACGAGCCCCTTTAGGTCCAGAAACACCTGTAGGTCCCTGAAAAAGAAAACATTGTGTGTTACAGTCTGACGGTTTTTTGTTTTGTGAGAAAATGTTGCCCCAGGTAGATTTAACTTTCCTTCTGCTGTTACACATATACTGACCAGGATGATGGTCTCTGTGCATGTTGAACAAATACATTTAAATAATGTGAACCTTTTCTGCTGATATGCTGTCTCTATGTGATAATTGTCTGAAGACTTGCTGTATAATGTATCAAAAGTATTATACACAGAGTATATGATGTTACTTACCGATGGTCCAGGGGCACCAGATGGTCCTTGGGGTCCAGGGGCACCAGCATCTCCCTTTTGTCCTGATTCTCCCTGCTCACCCTTTATTCCAGGCTGACCATCAGAACCCTGAAAAGTGAGTGGGGAATGATGAGTGTATCTGTTATGGATAGCGCCGCAGTGCCCTGCGATTCAAGATGCTGTTAAACTGAAAAATGATGTAACTCTGATTGTGTTTCATCAGTTTTGACTTGTGTTAATGCAATGCATCAGTACCTAAAATGATGAGTAATAGATGTACTTGAATCTGTTCTAATCAGTCAGGTCACTAACTTTACAGCTATTTATAGTTCTGCTGCTGCACGATATTTCAGCTTCCCCATCGTTTGTAATAGGAATCTGGGCTATAGAAGCTAGAGGAACATTTGTTTTCAAGAGACAGAAGGTATAATTTACTTCTAAATCAAGCAGCAAATATATATAACTGAAAAAAGACAAAAAATTAATCAGAGATTCAGATACATTTTTCATAATTAAAAAAGAACCAGATTGAAGCCCCACCATAATATAAATTGAATATTAGCTAATGTTTTAGGAAAATCCATGTCTGTTTTCAGTCTCCGTGAGGCTAAACTGTGATGTCTGTAGGCCGAGAGCAAAAATTATTTACACACCTTGTTGTGTATTAACCCTGACACAAAATCTATAATTAATCATAGTGCAACCTGGGGGGGGAATTTAGATAAACTGTGTTGTCACAAATGTATTAGTGAAAGCCACTTCAAAGGGTGCAGCTTATGAAAAACTCGTATTTGCCCGTCTGGGGTCTTTGGGACAACGTAAATGGGTGAAGTCACGAATACCTGTGACATTCAACAACCTAATATGTTTCCACACAATTATGTACCGAGGAAACAAGACCGAATTATTAACTTAGGGTAAGAAAGAACAGACATCCAGTGTTTCTAGATGAAAGCAATGAAATAAGAATTAAATAAGAACGTTAAATAACTGTCACCTTACATTTCAAATTCTGTATGGTTAACAAGAGGTTAAAGATTTCAAACTTTCTCTTCAATCATAAACAGAAACCGATACTAAACTAATTTTGATACCCGCTGGTTTCACAATCCAATTAATTACTTCAAAGTTTTCGTGTATTTTTTCCTAAAGATTCTCAAACCTATCCAGTGAAGGAAATACTAGCGACACCACAGCAATGTAGGAATTAAAGCTAGAGATCTAAGTTATTTTCTGTAGTTAAATGTCTCAAAGTAGAAGTTAATATTAGGTTTAAAGTCTATATTTTTCAGGAATATATTACTAAATAGTGTGTATCAGTCTTTTAGGTGAAAAAAAACACAACATGCTTAACCTGTCAATGGATGAAACTATACTAAACTATACTAATCATACCCCAAATGATTCTGCAGTGGAAATCACTGCATGCGCTTAGTAACCCTTCTGAAATCAACCATCTGTGAAGAATCCATCCACAAAACTCTCCTTGCAGAGAAACTAAACAGAGTAAATAGTACATCTATGAACACCGCAGCTTTCTATGAGACAGAGTTCAGTTGAAATGAACAGAGGTGACTCAAATACTGTCACGTCCTCTAATGAACCAACATTTAAAATTATTTCTGCAATTTATGGATGCTGTGTCCTCCAGGCTAAAATAAGATAGACACCATCTGGCTTGTTATCAAAAACCGACAACCATAGCGTGGAAGTGTATTAGTGCACATTATACAGGTGATGTGCACATCTGTGAAATCCCATAAAAAAATATAAGTTTTGGCAGCAACATACATTGCCATCCAAAAAACATATTTTTCAGGGTAGCCCTCATTAATGCATTGTGATAAAATTCTGCATTAGAGCATAATTAATCATTATGAGACATTAAAAGAGTTTGAAACACTGACCTGTCAGCTTTCAATGCTTAAAATGTGATTAGAGATAGAGGAAAACTGGATCCAAATTTTAATTAGCTTGCTATTTTTTCAAAAGAAGAATAAATGGAAGGTTTCAGCATGTGATCTGTTGTCAGGTTATGGCATTTAATTATTTAGCACAACATTTTTAATCATTTTTCTAAACTTAGTTATTATATGTTTAAAGCTGTAACATTTATAGTGGACTAGACATTCATAATAGGAAATGAAGAAAGTTAAAATTTAAAAACAGAGTAACAATTTTCAGATTCTTCCAGTTATACAGTAGGAAAAATGTCTTTGTGAAACTTACAGGAGGTCCAGCAAAACCAGCAGGTCCAGGAGGTCCAGTCTCTCCCCTGTCACCCTGGAAGATGAATACAGGTTAATTAAAACTAAAATCTTTGGTCAGGTCTGGGAAATGTAACTTCATCATGGATAGAAACTTTTTAAAATATCATCGGTAATCTTTCAAGGCGGCTCCAAAGGTAAACTGGCCTCTGAATAGGTTTAAAAAGTAGGGTTGATGAGTAAATATTCGACCATAATTTTAGGATTAGCTGATAGCAGTTAACCGTAACACTTACAGGAGCACCACGAACACCAGCGGGCCCAGAAGGACCAGCAGGACCAGATTCACCCTGAAGGAAAACACAACATCATGAGCTACACACACTGAGCTAGAAAACATAGAGATAACTGTTGACCATTACCTCTCATTTTAGAGTACACAGAGCAGGAAATAACACTCACCTTCTCACCATTGGGACCGGAAGGACCAGGAGGACCAATGGGACCAGTGAGACCCTGTGATAAGAAATAGGAAGTTAAAACCAGAAATTCATCACTCATCTTTGTTCATAAAAAGGCACAACTCTAATATCTAAGAACAGTTCTGAATAGTAAAGATTCAAACCGATTTGATCATATTCAGTTCTGCCTATTGTCACTCACTCTGCCTCCATCTTTGCCTGGGGCACCTTCAGGACCTTTCTCTCCGAGGTCGCCCTAAAGGAATTAAAAAACAGTCCGTCAACCACGAAGAGAATAGGAGAGAATAAGCATGAATTTTTAAATATACTGAGGTAATATCAATGATATTTCCCCCCCCCAATTTTGCTCACTCTGTCTCCTTTGGGTCCAGGAACGCCAGCACCTCCTCTCTCTCCAGGCATGCCCTGGAGGCCTGGGGGCCCCTGGGCTCCAGAGCCACCAGCAGGCCCGATGGCTCCCTGTAAAAGATTACAGGTGAAAAACAGACAAACATGACACTAACAATCACAACAGTCAGTTAGGAAAATAAAGGATGTGGATTTGTGACGTTTTTTTTTTTTTACGTGACTCCACGAGGTCCACTCCTGGTCAAACCTTGTGAGGCTTATCAGCAGCACATGCTACTGCAGCCTCAGATGCACAAACACAATAACTGCTCCCTATCTCCAGTCATTAAGGGAAACAGCAGGGTTCACACAACTGCAGGTTCTAGTAGCGTGGACTTTGAAGCCGCTGTTTAACTTTATGGGGCAGAAAACGGATGTTTCTGACTGATATATAAAACTGCATTACCCTTTAGCTTTTTTTTTTATCATCTGTTGCTACATCAGTCAGATGCATCAGAAAACTGATGTATCTGACTGATGTATATAACTGCATTTTAATTGCATTTTAGCTTTTTTTCATCATCTGTTGGTTCACCCTCTCCTTCAATCAACATCACAGTGTTGTCTGTATAATCCTCATCCGCTCTATCCCCTCCTGCCTGACCTTACAGGAAGAAAATCTATAAAGTGGGATTAAAATCTGAGCAGATAACAAACCAAAAATGGGAATTGCAGCCGCTGCTCTGAGCTCTGCCTCTCCTCACAGTGCAGTGGCGACAAATCACTGCTGTGGCTGGAATTGACTGATTCCAAGCAAGAACTTGAGGCAAGAGCTTGATTGAAAGTACACTGAGCAAACAGCAGGATGAGAAGCTTATCTTTTAAGACTCATTCGAAATGTTTAATACGAAAAGAAATAAAGCGCAAGGAAAGAATATGTTAAGGATAGGGAATAGAATATGAAGAAAGTCCAGAACTGAACTAACTCAGGCTTGATGATGTCGGTTCTCAAACCCCTTAAGCCAGTGCAACCAAACTTACTTTTTGTGGAAAACAATTTCTTTTGAAACCCATCATTAAAGCCAAACTGGATCTCGTACACAAAAAAACAAAACAAAAAACAAAGTAGAAATTTGACTCCTGCTTTGCACTTCTGCTAATCACCCCACAACCACAAGCTCCAATTTAGATAGATGCGGCCTCGGGCACCAGTGCACCCCAAACTTAATCTATTTTTATTGGATATGATGTTCATCTCATGAAAACATAACAGAGGTTTCATAACACAAATGTAATACAGATTCCCATTCAACTGTCATCTACAGATGATTCAAACATTCAGAACTAAGGTCTCTTCCCCCCTTATTAGCATTTTTTCTGGGGGGTTGCAACAAAAACACACTTGAAGTAGTAACACTTCAATGTGCAGCTCATAGTGTTCTGCTTTTGCATGTGGTAGGAATAAAAAAACTGGCAAAAGCTCTTCAGAAGAATATTTTCCTACAATGTAGGTTCACCTCGGGGAACGATATTTCACAATTTGAAAACCTTCCTCTGGTTGCTGGACTCACCTTGGGTCCATCAGTTCCAGGAGTTCCAGGCAGACCTCTGGGTCCCTGCAGACCCTGAGGGCCAGCAGCTCCTCTCTCTCCGGGGAAGCCACGCTCTCCCTGAGAAGTGCCACAGCCGTTATCAACAGACGTCCTGATAAACAGCTAACTGCAACACAGTACAGCCCAACGAGGGGCAGTGAACTTACTCTGGGTCCAGTTGCACCAGCAGCTCCACCCTCACCGGGGACACCCTGAAGAGACAAACAGAATTAAATGTAATAAATGCTGCACTGTTACTGCTCTCAATAGATTATGCTTCATGTTTGACTTGCTTGCAGCAATACATACACAAAAGGACAATCAGCTGAAAAAAGGTTTCATTATAAAAATGACCTATTTAAACCATCTTGCTGTCATTTGACACAAATGACTCAATGATCAGGTCAATAGTTATACAATAGTCCTCGCTGTGGCCTTATTAGGCACAGTCCAGCATTTTAATGAGAGTCATTTTCTTACAGATTGTAACAGATTGTTGCTGTTCATACAGGAACTGCTTCACCTTTCAAAAACTAAATTTAATCAGATCACCGCACTGACCTGGTCTCCAGGTTTGCCTCCTTCACCAGGAGGGCCGGGAGGTCCAGGAAGACCCTGTTTACAGGAGAGAAAAAGTCATTAACAATTGTCATTGAGGCCAGCGAGCAGAAAGCTGCATAATAAGCATCATGTTTAAGTATGCAAGTGTTTGTGTATTTTTCCACATTAAACAGCTATAACACAAAGTTAAATATATATACCACATTCAGATGACCGTGGTAAGGTTTTAACAGCTTGCTCTTCAGTAATAAAAATGTGAGTGTACTCACATACTCCAAAACAATTCTCTAAACTTCATTGATTAATTCTTATGCATGATGCTTTTTCTTTCAATTACAGAAAAATCAGCATTGATTAATTTTCTTGGACATGCCAGTTAAGGCCAGTTAAGGCATAAAGGCAGGGAAACTCACCTGGAAGCCTGAGGGTCCAGGCTGTCCTTGTTCTCCTCTCTCTCCAGCAAGGCCCTAAATAGATCCACAATTCATAGCATCAGATCCCAATCAAGGAAACATAGACAGATTGGTGGTGAAATATGGGAAATTTTCTATTTTCTCTACTTTAACATCTGTACACTGCGAGTGCGTGGTGAGACTCTTTGAGTGAGTGTGCTTTGTTTTCTTCAGTGCACTGAAAAACAAGCCTCCAAACAGGATGGAGGTCAATAAGTCAGTTAGAAGTCTAATAATCAGCAGGACAAAAGTGTCAAGGACCCTTTTTTCTAGAAACAGCTCTAGTACAAAGAATCTAGGAAATGGAAGTAGTGAAAGGTGTTTCTATGTACTGACTTGGTGGAGGTAAAGAAGCGATAGCATCAGTGTTAAAGCTATATAGAGTCAGATGGGGAGGGGGAGATACATACAGCAGGGCCAGGAGGTCCCGCAGGGCCGGTTTCTCCATCTTTGCCAGGCAAACCCTGAGGAGGGAGGACAGAAAGATATCGTGTCTTAAGCCAAAACCAAAAGCAATGTTATTAGAAGACACAATCTGGAAGCTTAACTGAGCTTTTCTATTTGGTTCTCATGAGGAAGCTGAAAACATTTGTGACAACAGATTAATGAGAGTCACATTATAAATAATCTCAAACTGAAGTCTAAAACCACTATCAGCAATACTTTCATATGCTGTACCTTTCTTTTCTCTTAACTATATGTACTCAGAAAAGGCTGTTTGTCACACACTTGATTAATTTGTCTTTATATGATGTCCAGTGCATAACAATCAGTAATACAAACTCAACAATCCATAAAAGGATGTTGAATTTAATAGATAGGAAAACAAAAACCCATGATAATAGTGACATGATTTATTGTTCTGATCCTTCCGAATCAATTTCGAGAAAGGAATTGTGATACATACTGCAGAGGAAGTTAACTTACTCTCAGTCCAGGAGCTCCAGCCAGTCCCTTCTCACCAGACTTGCCAGGTTCCCCCTAATGAAAAAAGAAAAAAACCTGTCAGTCAAAGCTGCCACTGCTGCTCCGCTCAGTGCAGCTTAAAGCTCTGCTTTAGACAGGCTGAATGTGTTAGTGCACATGGTATTAGATGGTATTAAAGTACTCAGAGGCCTGCCGGATGGTGCTGAGCAGGTGTATTATGTATTATCAGAATGGACAAATAAGTTATTTACAGTTGCTCCCTTGGGTCCGGGGAATCCCATGACACCAGGTTGACCACGGGCTCCCTGAGGGCCAGGGGGGCCGGGGCGGCCATCCTCACCAGGAGCTCCCTGTGAATCAAATGAAACAAAGGATGATTAACATGCTCTAAATTTGATGTAGCATATTTCAAAAGTAATAGTATAAATTTGAGAGAGGATGTGACAATTCAGATGCATAGCTGCACCAAAGATCTGGTCAGCACTGGTTCAGGATGTTTGCTGTAGCAGTGAGCAAATAAATGGCCAGTATTACCTGAGGAAATAAAACTGAACCTCATCTTGATAAAATGTTCAATTTTATCCCGGTTCCTAAATAAATAACTATAATCATATACTAAAGCTCCACAAGGGAAATTTAGATGAAATGGAAAAGCTCACTGGGTAAATGATAAATTAGTTTGTCCCTGTAACAGTCAGAAACGGTACACTGTAAAGGGTTATGTATTCTAAAAAAAAATGGAAGCAATGGTCATATAATAAATAATAAAAAAAATAAAATATGCAAACAAGTGTAACAAGTTAACAAAATTAGGGGTGCCTTTAATAAAGTAATAAAATGTTGAAACACCTCTTCCTTAAACTCGTTAACGTCTGCAGACCTTTAACACGGACAGACAATTATGTACCTCAGGCTTTCAAGTAGCTCCACAATAACAAAATGTACACAATTCAAGACAGAGTTCAAAAGCAGGAGCAAAAGAAGGTCAAAGAAAAATCACAGTGAAGTTAAGGATTTTTGTTCTTTTCAATTATGTGAATGTGACATGATTGCTAAAGAAAGCCTCAGTTGGAGGTAGACAATTAAACGGTCCATAAATCTTCTGCAATTTAATTGAATGAAACCGCTTGTGATGCACACAGTTTGATACTAGTACATTTGGTAAAACGACAAAGTACTGCATTGTGTAGTGTACACATTTTACTTTATAAAAATGAACTACACAAATATACACAAAGTGTTGTTTCTTTATAAAAACACAACAAAAAAATGCATCATTGGCTGAGAGCAAAAAGTGTACTTACGGAAGGTCCAACTTTTCCTTGAGGTCCAGCATCTCCTGGGCGACCAGTCAAGCCCTGCCAGAGAAGATCACAAACACAGATTAAATCTAAATGAATCACCTGACATTTCTCTGAAAACATGTACCAGAAAAAGACAGAAGCATAGAACCTATGGCAGCGTTGGGAACTATGTTTATAAGGCTGATTGGCCTTCCACACCCAGCAAACGTTATCTGTTTAGTCTGTTTGCTTTGGGAGCATTATTTCTTAAAAAAGTGCTCCAAAGCCTTTGGTGACAGAGGAAGCTGCACCAGGTGTGGAACTCCGATCAAGAAAAGGAAGCAAACTAAACTCCTTATCTGTGTTTGAACATTTCAAGCTTACGTTATCTAATACGATTAAAGGAGAGCAAAACTGTTGGTGCAGTTTTATCGACTGGCCCCATGTTTCACATTTCATGACTTTTCTTTTACATTTCAGTTCACGCATTTTGCTAATTTATCCTTCCATGTTTACAGTGTGACCATGGCTGTAGAAACATATGGCAATGTTTGATGCTTGCATATCGCTAAATATGACCAGGGGCAGTTGGTCTTCCTACATGTTTTTATTCTAAATGCAAAATGCTATGACGGTTTGGATGTACACAATGATTGTCCTTTAAAAATATGCCTTCAGTTGCAAACTGACAAATGGTAGAACTCTGTCTTTTTCCAACTGTTCTTTGGAGCCAGATTAAATTAAAAAAGGGCAAATAGATCAGGACAATAAACATAGCAAACATACTATCTAAGATCACTAGCTGAACATACTTAATTACTATGCACACAAAGGAAAATTTATGAAGGCAAATCTGCAACGTCCATATCTGATATTGTTCTTTTGCTATAAAAAAGAAAAATGACTTACCCTGGCACCTGGAAGTCCAGGCTCTCCAGGACGACCGGGGTCACCATTGGCCCCCTTCGGACCACTGGCACCAGAAGGTCCACGCTCTCCGGGGGCACCCTGTATTAGGAAAATAAAGGGAATAAAGCACTTGGTCAATACAGAGAATGTGACACAATTTTCAAACCTAGAGGAAATTAGTTTCCATTTTTAATAGGTGCAGAAGTTCCATTGACCTTCTGGAGATGAGAAGATTAAGCTCTGATAGATTCATTTTGGTTTAAATGAAACTGTCGTGGGAAGATAATGTTAAATGAGATGTTAGCTTTGGAGATGTGGTACATCTAGGTCAGGTTGCCCTGTATGAGGTTATGAGCTATGCTGCTACCTTGTGGTCACATAACAGAGCTACATGTATCGCTGCTGAAATGAGGTTTTAAAATGTAGAACTGAAAAATGGTACATTTTGCTTCACGTAGTAAAAAATCTATTATCCAGTCTTTCAGTTATCATTTTAGCACTGATCTTTTTTCAGAGTGGGCTTTAAGGAGGTGTGAGACTCATTACACGCATCATCAAACACAGTGTTTTATCATCTCCATGCTCCTTGGAATTTGATTTAGGAATTACCATGAATATATGAGATTACATTTCTCTTTCTGTTGTGTGTGTAGGCAGCTCATTCAGTTGATTTATATTAAACTTTATTTATTTACTTAGTGCAATTAACAGTAGTAATACAAAATACTTTTTGAATATGAGTTAAATCTTACAAAGTACAATAGATATCTACCAGTTGGACTCTGTCTGTCATTGTTAGATGGAATAGAATGCCATTCAACTTTTTCTTTTTTATTGGTGTGGACAGTTAACGTATTTGTCGTTATCTCCAAACGTTTCTTTTCAATGAAACCTTTTGGCTCTTTAGGGCTTAAACTAATTTTAAAACACTCAAATCCCATTTATATCTAATTTCTGCAGTAAAAAATGTGACACAGTTTATTGGTTTTTGATTAACATGAACTGAAAATAATTTTCAACGTGTCATTTATGCAGTTTGAGAACAAACTGGACGACTAACTCTCTGATCTAAGCCTTTATCAAAAGCTTGTGAGAAGCAGAGTAACATATAGAAGAGATACAAATCTGTATTAGTTTTTTGTTAAAACATTTGAATTGAGTGGTTTATGTTTGATTGGGAAGTTTGAGAAGGCTAACAGAGGTAAACTGGTGAGTTCATTATACTGCGTATTGTGAATTTTAATTAACTCATTTTTTTAACAATATGTTAATGTAATGATTCACAAAAGTAATTCATGTTTCACAGAATCATAACACTGGACCAGACACATCAGCTATGTCTTTATCAGCACCTCTTTTTTGCTCTAAATGCGCTATATTATTTTTATCCCTCATCATTCTACATCTGATTTGAAACCTCTCCTCATTGTTTTAAATGTTGTATTAAGACATACCTTGGGGCCGGGCAGACCATCTTGACCAGGGAATCCACGGTTACCTGGAGATCCCTTAAGATAAAACACAAAATCAGCTAATTTTTTGACAGCAATAGAAACTTTATCACAGAAGCGTCAGGATGTATTGATGTTAACAAGAAAATGATTATGGTTTAATCTGTTTGATGGTACATACTCTCTCTCCAGGAGGTCCAAGTGGTCCAGCAGAACCAGGCTCTCCCCTGGGTCCCCTCTTCCCTTCTTCTCCTAGTGGGCCAGGGGCTCCCTGAGGACCAGCTGGTCCCTGTTAACAGAAGGAGGCCATACAAAATGTAAGTCCTGGAACTATGTGAACAAAGGATTAAAACATTATCTGCATTATATGCACAGAATTCTATCAATAATTTCATTTCCTGGTACAGATAAAACATCATATAATCCAGGGCTAAGTAATACAAATCTCACAATTTCTCCTTTGGGTCCAGCTTCTCCTTTGAATCCAGGGATACCTGGATCTCCCTAAACATGGAAATTGGAGAGAAGACGAAGAAAAGTAAGAGGATGTAATGACTTTATTTTTACATGAAATTTGAAAAAAAAATCACTTGTGCTAAAGTTGTAAAAAAAAAAAAAAACTATCAGGGATTACATACTGATGTTCCTTTTGGCCCAAGAGGTCCGGTAGCTCCCTGAGGTCCTGGAGGCCCACGAGGGCCAGGGAAACCAGGAGCCCCAGCGATACCAGGAGCACCCTGCAGTCACACAGAAAAAGAGGCGTGAAGATAGTGAACTGACTCATCACATTAAAAGAAAATCATCTTACTGGATACATTTTTAAAGCCAATGCTCATATGCACTGCTTTCCATTAATCAGGTAAACAGCAACTGAATGTGTTATGCAAATGTATGAAAATGCATCACGGCACATGATATCAATTTAAAATAAATCTAAAAAAGATGTCACCTTCTAACTGTACTTAACAATAAAGGAAACAACAGAGAGAAGGAAGTCATTATAATTTTATAAAAAGAAGAGTTTTAAACTTACAGATGAACCTTTAGCTCCAGGGATACCATCAGTACCAGGGTTGCCCTGTATTAAAAAAGAGAGAAAACAAGTAAAAACGCTGCCAGAAGATATCCGTAGTTATTGTTTTGGGACTGATTATTTTCTTTAGCAACATTAGAAAATAGTAAATAACTAACACTCTCTTTAGACATCTCTTGTATTTATTTATCAAACACACATAAAATGATTGGAATATTCAACTTCAGAAAAAAGGTTGATGCAGACATAACTTGTACTAAGCACCTGAAACTGTATGAATTATGAAATTAGACATGACAGCAGATAGAAAGCTTTCTTTTATGTCTGCGGCACCACTTACGGAAGCACCGGAAGGTCCGGGTGACCCAGGAGTGCCAGACTCTCCACGGGGTCCCTGACCTCCCTCTGGTCCACGAGCACCGGTAGGACCAGCTTCTCCCTGATCACCAAAAACAAATGAGACAACAAAGATTAGCAAGTTTCTGTCTTCACGTGACCTTAGATATACAGGCAAAAATAATCATACTCGGATTTTTTAGCTATAAAAAGTTAGAACACTGAGATTGATAAGTTTTAACAATAGGACTCCACATAAACAGCTGTTAAAATAGATCAAAGTGATTTTAATTAAAAAGACAACATGGAATGGAACTCAATTTACATGCATTTTCAATTATGATTAACAATTTAATTATAGTTTTTTAATTTTTCAGTTAATAGTCTTCAACAAAAAATAGAATGATTAATTTGTATATCAATAATTAGTTTATTTGTTTTACGAGTCATGAAATAAACCAAATAATTGAAAATGTATATCTTATGCAATGAGGTTTGCTACAACTGTTAATGGGGTAAACAAGTAAACAAGAAAAAATGTTTTGTAAAATAAAGTTTTGCAGACCAGGAGAGCTTTGGGAACAGGAAAGGTTACATGACTCATGATGGTACTTTCTTCTCTTAAGAAAGAGAAAAAGATGAGCAATTGATGTGTAAACAGTAGAAGGTCATTTTTCAACAGTTTTTGAAAAATGTCTTTTTTCTATTATTTTTCCTTGATTTAGGTCAAGCAAACACATCCTCACACTATCAGCCATTGACTGGCAACAACGAGCTGACCATAAACCAACATTGTTAAATGGCTCTCACCATGATTAATGGGATTTAACAGTAAGCCAATATGTGCAACTTAGGCTCAGCAATAGCTTGGTATTTCTACACGATAGCTCTAGATAATTAATCATGCACAAACTTTAATTGTGTAAAAGTGTTTAAACTGCCCTTTTGTGTTGTTCAGATTATGTTGGCACTAATGTAGCGGTTCACATTCTGTACCATGTATCGAAATCACCTCTGACTCTGACATGCAATCGCAGGTTTTGTTTCCAGCACAGCCAGTCAGAGTTAGTTCAATCAAGTCCTTTGAACAGCTGCTGAATCAGATAACAAATATTCTACTCACAGTCAAATTTACTTATCTCTGCTATGAGTAAGTGAGATTTTAGCAAAGAAATGAAACAGTGAGCTTCAGTAACAGCTGAATAAATGGAGACAGGGGAATCTGCTACTACTAACACATAGATTTCTCATAATAATTCCTCTCTTTATTAAAATGTTCCAACCAGAATGAATAACCAAGAATGACTATTCAGTATAACAATAGATAAAGTAACTTGTGCCCACTTCAAATTGTATAACCTTTATCAAAGGTGTGACACGAGGTTAATCTCTTCTTGTACCCAAGTTTTTGAAAATAAGTTTTGAGCACTATCTAACTCAGCACCAGTGCCTCACAGCAGGAGGGTTCCTGGTTTGAATTACAGCTGGGGGGCTCTCTGTGTGAAGTGTGTGTGTGGGTTATAGATAGCTGGGATGGATGGATAGAACAATTCATTATAGCTTCCATGAACAACAAAGAAGATTTTTGAATAATGAAGGTCGAGACAATTTGCAGCCATCAGAAAAATGGAAATTGATGGAATAATGTCTGAAATGGCCTAACTCTGAGGCAGCCCATACAGTTCAGCTCAGTTCACATCAGTGGATCTAAATGCCATGACCTAAACTACCAGTCTTGCCTTCTGGGCATTCATGTGGTAAACGTGCTACTTCTCTTGCCTTGATACAGATTTCTTATCATGATGTTTCTCTACAAATGTCTGGCTCAAACTCCTTTTTAAATTGTGCCTGTCTTAACCGATGTCATGTTAGTTGCTGATGCTGCTCTGGGGTTTCCACCTGCTCTTTCTGCCTCAGGCATTCTATAAAGTATGTGGAAGGGAAGCCAAAGAAAACAGCTGCTACAAAATACACATTATTCTAACACTCTTTTTGATGGAAGTTGTCCTGACTGAAAAATAATTTCAAGAGTTTTTACAAAAGTAATCAATGGAAATAATGTCATATTTCCATCAGCTGAGCTATGAAACATTAGCAAAAAGAAGCAAAGCTACCAATTTATGTAACGTGTTTACAGTTTGTTTATACTGTTTTGCTACCGTCAAGTCTGCAGAGCAGTAATCAAACCAAGAGGAAGGCAGGAGGAAATTTCAACCATTTCTTCGTTCAATCGTCACGAGAAATGGGATTTAACAGACAGAAAAGATGGATGAATTTGGAGCTCTTACAGGGATCCGGCAAGAATATCATAAGGCAATGTCATTTTTTTTATTAAGACATATTGTTATATACGTCTTATATATTTATATTAAGACATGGCAGCAAGAATGGGGCCAACAATACAAACAGGCAAAGACTGAAGAGACAGAGTCAGCAAATGGATGAAATTCTGTTTGAAAACAGATCTTGTAACCATGGAAATGTCATTGAGAAGAATCGACTGCATCCCAGATGTTGGACTGCTGATCGTGAGTTTATGTCCATGTTGTCTGCCAAGACAGTTCACCTGTGTCCCCATCTGACACAGTGAGTCACATCATCAGTTAAGTTGCTGCCCAGCAATGTCATTTTTTCCCCAAATTCACTTTAACGTTCCAAAAGTTAGCAAATTGTCCTTTTTGATATATTTCTTTTGTTATCAATCTTCTGTACAACAATAGACGATTCATTAAAAATGGTATTTACTGCAGTAATATAATTTCCCCTTAAAATAAATTGAAATGTATTTAATTCAATTATTTTGCAACAGAGATAAGGTTCTACCTTCACAGCAGTGTTGCTGCTTGTTAAATGTGCATAACAGGAAGAGGAATACATCCATGTTTGTAACAGTGGAAGTGTCATGTCAACCGAACACAATCTACTGTCTTAATTTGGGATATCGACAACCGTTGTTTTCACTGGGTTCTCTCCGTTGCCCTCAATGAGCTTTTATACCTAAGTGATAACTGTTTGAGAGGTTGACTCCAATGATGGGGGCCAACCAAAACTAACATTTCCCTGTACCACAAGGTTCAAACCAGGCTGTCCACTGCCAGCTGGACATGCAGATGAAGCTTGTTAGTGAACCAAGATAAAGATGAGGTGAGGCTGTGCAACTAGTTTCCACTTAATGTTTATGTTGATAGTCAGCTTTATATGTTCCTTTAGGACAAGCGTTAAAATTGATTATCAAAATGACTGAAAGTATATAAAACATAAGTGGAATATTTCTTTGAAAAATCTATTAAAATTTAAAATATAAGTTTGAGCTGGTTGGATAGAGGTCAGCTTTCTGAGCACTTACTTTCTACATCCCATGTGGTAAAGTGTCTATTTGACTATAGGTTACAGTCAGTAAAAAAAGATTAATCTTTATCCCCCAGTCTACACACACATACACACACAAACACACTCACAGAAATAAAGCGTTCCATCCCTTTGGCGAGGTGAGTAATTAAAGGTGAATAAACAGTAAAAAAAAAACTCTGTCTTCTCTTGTAGTTTAAATAGAAACTCCCTTTTAATTCACAATAACTAATTCTAAGAACTTTCATTTTTACTCTTCCTTCTGTTCTTAAAAGTAACAATAATAATGCACACTATTTACATTCATTCTAAGAAAAAAGTTAACGATAAAAAGGATTAAATTCAATAAAGATAATCACTTTCCAGTCTTTTCAGAGTCTATCCAAAGTTTTCTATCAAAAGGCAAACACATGATATTGTGCGGACACTTTGATTTAGCAGTGAAAGAAACTTGGGCCTCTATTCAAAGGAATCATTCTGAGGACCAACTTCTTATGGAAACTAGCCAGACTTTTTACTGCTGGTATGCAGCCTCGTGGTGCTGAATGAAATTCCACTTCTCTTTTGCTGCAGCTTTTTGGATTTTGCAGACAAAATAGTATGACATAATAGAATTAGTATGCGACTGCAAAAATGGTGATGCATGAATACTTTGCTGGCACTAAAGCCAGGATGAAAACGGGAACAAAGTTAAACTTAACTTAAAGATTTGTTATTATCTGGAGTATTTATTCAGATGAGGATCAGATAACAGTGACTTTGCTAACTTTTTGCTTTTTACTGGGTCTGGTTTACTGTGCAAAGTGGTGTTGTGAAGCCCCCCCCCAAAAAAAAGATGAAATGAAAAACTAAAGTAAGGCTGTAACTCCCAGAGAATGAAGAAGAATGTTTGATCCAGCAGATAGAAAGCACATTCCTGAAGGCACAGCAGAAGCATGAAATACGATATTTTAAGTTTCCCACCAGGAGACATTCTTTGGTATATCAAACAGTCCCCTTCAAACTAACTCACAGTGAGACACACAGCTTCTACACACAAACATAAAACTAGTATATGTATTTTCTTAATAGAAGTTCTTCAAACGAATGAACACACACACTGGAGCTTGAATATTGTCTCGGTTACTTGAACGAAAGTTCTGAGATTTTGAAATGAGGTGCTCCGTTTCCAATTCCTAAAAGACATCCCAAACAATAAAGGGGCTTTAGGAAGAAAGCAAACCACTAGCACAGGATTCAGTCTGTCTGCCGTGCAGGAGGAATAAATCAGGTGCAAAGCAGAGGGAAAGAAAAGAACAAAGTGCATGGCAATGAGGCCTGAAAGGCACTTAAAAAAACAACAACAACCTTGTCCTAAATTTTCCACACGTATGGAGCCAAAGCAGCCCTCTCCAATTTCTCCAAAGGATTTCATCTTGTCCCCACAGAATGTGCCAACAACAGAGAGCAACCGTTTTTTGAGACGTTCCCTTTTTTAGTAGATTTAATAAAAGCTCAGACCAGCGTCATATATCCAAGTCTCTTTTTTTTGTATTCTAAGCCGTGTAACTTTTTTTTTTTTTTACTAAGACACAATAAATAAGGCACAGAAAGAGAAAAACTAAAGTAACGGAAATGATAGGAAACACTCAAGAAGATTTGGGACGGACCTTTGAACCAGGTGAGCCAGGGAAGCCTGGGGCTCCAGAAGGACCAACAGGACCCTGCAGGGACAAAAAGACAGTCTGTCAGCTCAGCGTTTTGGGTGCTACACATACAACTTAGACTCTGCTATCATACTGCAGGGACCGACTGTGCTTCATATTGTACACTTTCATTGTAAAACTGTAAATGAGAAGGGTTACATAAAAGACATTCAGATGGTACTTACTGGAGGACCAGCAGGACCAGGCAAACCATCATTTCCCCGTGCTCCCTAAACAGAGAAAAAAAACCCAATCAATGACATGATGCTCAACATTTACAGATCTGATAAGGTTATAGTGGACTAAAGAAAAGTGTAAGGAAAACAAAAAGATGAACAGCAAAACTTTCTGTTAAGAATTCCATGTGAATTTGGAGTCAAGTTCAAATTTGAGCAGAGTAAGATGGCACCTACAGCGGCCCCACTGGGTCCAGGACGTCCTCTCTCGCCGGGCAATCCACGAGGGCCCTACGCAGGCAGAGGAGAGGAGAAGAAGCTTTAACATTGCTTTACTGCTATTGTTTCAAGTGAATGGTTTGCAGTTGCTTTTCAATTTTTTTTCAAGTATTTGTTATTATGTGCCCCCAAAATACACACCATTGGTCCAGGTGAGCCACTCTCTCCAGAAGCACCAGCTTCACCCTAAAAAGAGGTAAGATTCAGCTCTCACATAATAGGTGTGGTGTCTAAATCATTACAAATTGTATATCAGGGAAAATCAGACACATTTGTTTGTGTGTTCTGCTGCATTTAGAATTTTAAAGGGCATAAAGACAAAAAGTGGACACATAATCTTACCTTAGAACCCACAGCGCCAGTTTCCCCCTTTGCACCATCAAGACCTGGATAACCCTAGGGGTTATAAAACAGGGAGAACACAGTCAGGAATCTGAGAACAATGACACAGACCTAATTGTGTCAGAAACCATTAAGAGATAAAACTCACTCTGTGCCCCTTGATGCCAGGTAGACCAGGCGTTCCGGGGAATCCACGTGCTCCCTATGATGTAGAAAAAAAAAATGTTACACAATAAAAAACAAAAAACAAGAGAGAGGAAGAAAAATCTGAAATATAACAGAATAGTCAGTAAAAGGAATGAAGATGCATCCTTTATTTCTGCATGATCTCGTGTTTAAACTGCATTTGAAATGCATGTTTCATCACATATACGTAAAAGACTGAAACATAGACCAGTCTTTTTTTCCCCGATATTTATCACTATGTTGCAATCATATGTATCCCAGACATTAATAAGAAGGTTGAAAAACTCACCTGGGGTCCGGTAGGTCCACGTTCGCCTCCTTTGCCAGGTTTGCCGGCCTCACCCTAAAACAGAAACAGATAAGAACATGTATAAATTCCCACTTTTTGTTCAGCATTTCTTTTGCAAACCAACAGCAAAAGAGTAGTTGTCTAGTTAATGTAGTTTAACACAGAGAAATATAATTGAAGCTACACTGGGCATTCCATGTAGATTCTGATCATGTCTGCTTCCATCGTGTGGACAAAAGAAGGAATTGCATTTTAAACTCTGTGACCCCCAATGCAATAAATGAGCAATTCCTTACCAAGTTGTAAAGTTTAACAATGTACCAAAAAAAAAATTAGAAACAGACATAAATGGAAATATTCTCCAAAATGGGATTTACACTATATATCAGGGCGCTTGCAGTAATTTAGTCATGATTCAAATTGATGGCCAGTAGTTGGGATAAAATTATGCCTGATAATCCTCAGAAAGAAGAATTTCCATCAGTTGAGTCTAAAAGGGTACAAGAAAGGTTTTTTGTTTGCTGTTTATCACCAGTTTATGTCAACTTTAAGCCTTTCCAAGAGACTGTCATTGATTGAATCACAAGACTCCTCATACATAAGAATAATAACAATAAATTAACTCACTATCAGACCTCCTTGCCAGAGTTACTGCAAACTAAATATGAAATACCAAAATGAAAATATGTAACTGTCACACTTACATCTTCTCCAGGTTTTCCAGGAGGGCCAGCTGGCCCACGGGGACCCATGGGGCCCTATAAGTAACAGAGAATAAAGGGAAGTGAGTCACAATTTCCATTCATAACCAAAACAGATAAACTGCAAACAATTTAGGCCTCATGTCTTTATTAGTCCTGACAGAACAAGAAGGAGACGATCAACTCTTTCCTAACCTCGATAATCATCTCACCTGTGTATGGGCTAAACTGAAGGTGGAAAAATGTTTTCACATCTTTACTTTTTTATTCTGTCTTTACTGAGCAGTGAAATCAACGACCAAATCACTCAATGCTTGATTTAAAGCAACAATAGGAGGGATTCCTTGTATTATATCAATTAATTTTCTCTCCTGAGTCTTTCTCTGGGAACTTTTAGCTTTTGAGTCAGATAAATGTTTTATCCATTCTGCCAACATCAAGGCAAAACAATGACCCCTAAAATCATCCTGTCAAACCTAGTTTGATTTTAATACCACCTAATGATGTACTGGCATAATTTTAAAGGAAAAGACATTTAGGTACTCTGAACTCTAAAAATTCCCTGAACTCCACATGAGTAGATTAACACAGTGGTGGGTAGTCCTTGTGCCCTCCTCCAGCTGAGAGAACAGGGACACAAGTCTGATCTCAGTAAGCTTTTGGATTGATGAGGCGTTGGAGAAGGGCGAAAGGAATGAAGAAAAACTAATATGACCTGAGAAATCACATTAAAACAGCCTTCTTTTCACAATAAGGCCGGGTTAAGTCTTTGATTTTTAGTTCCAGAAATGTTCCAGAAATTTGTGAGTCTGTAGACTGACAAATGGGGACTGGACAGACTAAAATAGTAGCCACTTGCTACAGCATAATTATATAGTTTGTAACTAGCAGAAAAAAATGTTTTTATTTTCTTCAATGAAAATTGAAAGTGCCAAGAGTTTTAACATTACCACTAAGTACAGCATGGCACAATTTCCTTGAATTTCTTCAGTAATTAGAGGAAGAAGAAGTAAGTTACGAAATATTTTTGTAAACAATTATAATCTTTCACATGTTTTAAAGAAGACCTGAAAAACAAATAAAAACAAACAAATAAACAAGCCACTTAAAGACAAAAGTGAAGGTGAAATACCCCAAAGACATTACATTGTCTCAATTCATAAAAAGCTATAGTTAGTCGGAAAATGAGGAGTACACTGGGGATCACTTACAGATTGTCCAGGCTCTCCAGGTTCTCCTGGGTTGCCTTGGAAACCTTGTGGGCCCTGTAATGTTGATAAAAGAACAGAGAAATGTTATGATGAGAGAAAAATGCATTTTACTCCTGATGCTGATGAAGACTGGTTTTGCAAGAGTTAAAACCACTTTTTCATTGTGTTTCCTATGTTTTACAGAAAACAGATCTGGAACTCAGAAGCATGTCACTCAGATTAAATTATTTTGCATGCTTTGCAAAACAAAACAGAGAAAATAAATCTCTAAATGGACTGGTTGTGATTATAAGCCATCAAGTAGAGGCCACTCAGGTTTCATTACCCACAACTCAGAAGCTTTATTTTCCTTTCTGCAAGTAAGACCTAAGATCTACAGGTAGGTGGTATTTGAAGGTTGAAGTGGAAAAGGAAGGGTGTGGTGTTTTGTGGGGTATAAATGCAGTAGGCAGCATGAAAGACAAATTGTCAGGTGTTCTCTAGTATGTCTGGGCTGTGGCACAGGAAATAAGCCCAGAGCCAGCAGCTGGGAGACAAAAGTATTCTTTGAGAGCCAGAAAACAGGAGACGCGGCCATTTGAAAGAGGGCTGAGTATAAACATTTATCTATGATAAGCTCTGATACCCAATCCTACTAGACGTTTGCCAAGTTCAGGGTCAAGTGTTGGTTTACACTTTTTCTTCAATCCACTAGGGGTGGCAGACAGTGTGGAATTCATATACTGCATCAGACACCTTAAAATGAATAGATTTAATCATGGATATCCTGTTTATGAACCACACAAGACTGAGTCTGCTCATGTGCACGTTATTTTGGAAGTATAGGAAGTACTTACAGGTGTTCCAGTGGGGCCAGGTGGTCCTCTGGGTCCCATAGGGCCCTGAGGGAAAGACACGAAACCAGAAGCACAATATCAAGATGACTGACAACCCAATCTTTCTGGTAATAAAAAAACATATAAACACATAAACTACAACAGACCACAATCAGATTTGGCATTTGCAGTTTTGTTTAGATCTCCTCAGGTGAATGCCAAGCACTTTTATTAAGTAAAAAACAATCCAAATATATCACCTGCTTTGCCCTGAAGCTAAATAATACTTAACAGCTCTACTTGTCAAAACCATAAATCCTCAGAAATTCCTCAGTGGCATTCATGCCTTCTCTTCCTTCTAATCCCACTTTTCATTTCTGTTAAACACTCCACCCCATTCTCTATTAGCTGTTTCTGTGTTCCTACAGTTCAGAGGTCGTTGGTCATGGTACCCTACTCTTGTAGAGACAGGTACCAAGTGCTACATGACCTCCTACCCTTTAATTACAATAGAAGAAGAATGGAATAATACAATTGTTTGGTTTAAGAACAAAACGCTTCATTAGTATTTCAGATGCCAACTCAGCAGGTGAGATTTTTTTAAACTAAATTGTCTCAGACTTAAACTTGGCCTGCCTGGCTTGAACTTCTGGTTGGACTGACATGCCAAAATAAATTTCTCTTCAACTTTATGCTTCAATGCTCAACAAAAGACAAAAGACACTGCGGTGCTGATAATCAAATTTCCTGATGTTTTTTTCCCCCTCTGAAATAAAAGCAAAACACACACTCAAAAGAAAATAACAGTTAAAGGTTAAAGGGAGATGGCCTCCTAAGTTTGTGACAATAAAGTTTCCAAGATTCCAAGTTTCTCTTCTTAGAAAAAAATATTTTCAAAAATCCTTAATTGTGATTGATTGTGCCAACTGTTCTTTTGGATGAAGAACATATTCCTTTCAGTAGTCTTGGGTTTATGAAGCCTCAATCAAAATTCAGGGAATCAAGCCAAAGAAAATGTCCCAGAGCAGCACAGTGGTCCTTTGAAGCGGATGAAAGTCACCTTTCAGTGGGCATGGAAACCTTCACCACAGCGGGCAGAAGCTTATCAATGGAGCTCTATATGTACAGGTCCTTTAAATATGTTTAAGGGAGTGTTTGTGCATACTTTTTAGTGAGCATATTGGTAAGTATGAACAGTATATGATGGAGAAGTACTCCATAAGTGCTTAGGGGTTTATAAGCTTGACTGGACTTATAAGCTTGATATAACTTTACTCCCGTACAGCTGCTCTCCCCCGATCGGGGTTGGAAACTGCCAAAGTAAACGTGGGCTGGCTTCACAAGGACCCAATATTGTGGTGAGCTCTCAGACAGACATGTGGTGGAACCATCAGTAGGAGTAAAGCCATACCGGCCGATTCTAACATTGGGGGATCTGATTGAGTCCAGTCGCCCCCTCCCTCCCCTCCCTCCCGACGTCTCAAACCTTTGCTGGGCTGAGACAGTGCCAGGCTGTTTTGTGGCTCTTTAAATAGCTCTCAGTATGCTCTTCACTCCACTGCAGGCAGGCTGCCATGCCAGCTAACCAGGAGCACCTGAGCATAGTTTGTTTGTGAGGCTGAAATATAAAGATAAAAAATAACTGCTTCCTCAGTCTGTGGAATGATCCAACTCTTCTCCATGTGAAACTCTTGTCCATCAGGATTCAAGATTTTGAACTGTCCTTGCTCCATTGATCCTTCATTTGTTCACGCAGAGATGTGTTCATGTTTATCCCCAAATGGTGTGTGTTCAGAGAGTTAAGTTTAGGAACAGGAAAACCCTTTTAACTTTTCTCTGCTCTTGTTTCCAAACATTTAGCGTCTCTGCAGCTTTAGCACATCCCGCTGTCAAAACAGAATATGGCAATGGCTGCAGGTCTGATCGTGGCTTCCTCACCATTGGTCCTTGCATCACACCCATCTGTGCACCACCAGACTTCTCGTCAAAACCACCCGCCATCTGAGCAGCAAAGTTCTGGAAGAGGCAAAAGTTGAAAAATCAGTGGGACACTTATGATTAATAAACATCAAGTGTTCATTTGTGAAATTTCAGTGAAATTAGGAGTTCAATGTTTAAAAAGAAATGCATCCTGACATTTGGCTGGAATGGATTCACAATGGGTTGAAAATCTTTAAATGTAAGAAGGTTTTATTTAAAGGTTAGAGTTTTTCACTATTGGAATAATAAATCATGGCAACAATGTGCTGTCATTAAACTGAAGGATGCCGGGCCATTTTGGCAGCAGTGAGAATCTGGTCTGCATGGATTGTCTGCAGTAGACTGTATTATGTGAACCTTAATGCAGAGTGACAGAAGGCATGTGAACTGTTTTCACAAAGACTCCCCAGAAACACCCTTTTCTACTTTTCTTCCTTAGGTCTCTTGTACCTCCTTTCTGCCCTCCCACACTCTCTCCATCAATTCAACGGCTCCTTTTATTTTAGACAGCAAAGAATGAGAGGCATTCGATCTATTCTCTCTCCACATTTATGCTGTTGTATTTATGGCTCCTCCCATTACTAACAGTTTAACACATCATTTGTATTCTAGGAATATCCCTTTTCTCAATTTTACCCTTGTCTCATGTTATTCCAGTCAGTCAAACCAATTGAAACTCAGTGAATAGAACCCCACCACCCCTGTCAATCATGCTATACTTACTCCACCAAGGCCAGGGGGTCCATTTGGCCCTGGAGGTCCAGGGGGACCAGGATTTCCCGGGGTGCCAGGCTCACCATCTCTCCCACGAGGACCGGTGCTTCCCTGACATGAATTAACAAAATGCAAATGAACTTTCAAAAGCAAACAAAAAGTACATGACTATGGCCTAAGACTCAGTCATGACAAAGTTTTTTTAATAGCTTATGGCAATTGGATCGGCCTTCTCTTTATTAGATGACATAATAATTATATGGTTAACAATCACCATGAAACGGAAAACCCTATTTTATAACTGATAACAACAATTTATGAGATTTATCAGAAATGAATGGCAATTGTGTCCAGAAATACTTTGAATAAATCATTATAGTTACTGACAGACAAAACACTACAAGGTAGTTCAAGTCAGCTACTGTTGACAGCAGCCTGAGGCCCATATGAGCTGTTTCCAAAGTGGACTGACAGTCTCACATGAGAGACGTTGGCTTAACCTGACCTGCTGACATCAAGCAGTGAGTCAGCAGGCCAGAAAAATGTAATCATAAATCAAATATCACCTGAGAATTGAACAACAGAAAATAGAGAGGAATTCGCTTTATGACTTGATACAATTACCAACAACAAAATATCCTTTGTTTCCTTCAGATATTGTAGAGCATGCAGAGGAAATGGGAGTACTTTACATACTTCTGTGCATGTAGAGACAAATTAGCTTGCAAGGAGATCCAAAACAAAGAATGTGTTCAACACCTTGCTGGCTGTTTCGTCCCTGTTAGCCAAAACTAAATCTAGCTCTTGTTTAAATCTGCATAAACACGATAACTACATGACATAAACTCCTCGCCCGCAGCAGCTAACACATCCTTGCTGTTGAATTAATGAGATGATCAAAGCCTGGCAAATGCGGCAATGATGATTTCTTAAACTATGTGAGAGGAAGGCCTCTGAGCAAAGCCAACGTTTACATAAGGAGTCCCCGACAATCTCACATCTGTAAAACAACCCAGACCACACAGCCAAATGGAAACGACACATGACTAGTTAGGCTGAGTTGCTCAATGAAAGGCTAGCATTCTGCAAACCTACGAGCTATAACACATCCCCCAACCCACCTTCAGGAACTACACCTTTCTGAAGAAGACATACTGTACTTGTTATAAGAGCAGTGTGGCTGCATATTTTCAAGGGTCAGTTGGGGAAAAAAGGTAATTGGGTATATTTTCTTATTTAATTACATATCAAACTTACCCTCTCTCCTTTCTCCCCTCTTGCTCCACGGGGTCCTTGCTCTCCTGGAGGGCCCTGAGAGAACAGGAGATGGTGAAGTGGTCAGTAACTTATCTTAGTATACTGTGATCTGAAGAAACACTTAAAACTCTTCTTCTGCTGTGTTTACACTAGTTTCTTGTTCCAACCAGTGCCACTGGCAGTTAAATTGGAGGCATACATTACCTTCTTTCTAACACTCAGGTTGTAAACAGTCTTGACAATCACCTAAATTAAGTCCCCCTTAAAGGAAAGACATGAAGTAACAATATGCACAAATAGGCACATACCATTGGGCCCTGTGGTCCTCTTGGTCCTACAACCTGGAGGGGAAGAGAAAAAAAAACACAAGTCTTTTGTATTGTTTAAAAAAAACTATTTTAAACTAAAGGGCCCTGTTGAAGCCTGCTTTTTTTCAGCAGTTACAACAGAGAAACAGTATCTTCCTCCTATCACAGCAGACTTGTTAATTGCTAATCTCTTCGGGCAAAGCATTACAAGGAACATACAGTAAACAATGCCCTCTTATTTCCTGCCATGAACTTGTGGTCCCTCAGAGGGGTAAAGCATTTCCAGCTGCAGCCCAACAGCAGCAGGGAGTTCAGTCCCCGTTGCTCTGTGATGGTTTGTGAGGTTCTTTATAGGGGACTGCATGGAGATCTTATTGTGCTTGCTGTTTTGGGTTAAAGAGCTTTTTCCATTCTTTGTCTTCTCCGAATTATGATTCTTTCTATAAATCAGGGGTACTGAAGCTGTCACTTCATTCAGCGCATGACGCTGTTACACAAAACAAATATTGTTGTCATTTAAACAGTCAGAGAAAAAGTGTAGCTAGTTAAAGGTGGTTTCATCATGTTTTCATTTCAGTCATGTATGCCTTAAGAGGGAAATGAGTTAGCTATATATGTTTTGTAGTTTGGCATTAAAAACATGCTTTGTAGGGTGTAACACTATATAATGTGACCTTATAAAATGTGACACAGAAGAGGCTAAACTACCAAGAATAAGTATGTAATACTAAATTACTTTGGGAATTGCTCCACTTGAGCATTTTCTGTGCATCCCTATATCTAAGAATAGCCTATTCCTGAAGACTTCCTCACCCAGTGGCCATCCTTCAAGGTTTTACTCTAACTGTTCATGAGATCTTGAAAACAATTAAAAAGTAAGTTTTTCCAAACAAAGTTATATTTTAGTAGCCATAACAACTTACATTTGTAATGTCTCCTGGTTCGCCCTTCTGACCCTGATAAAAGAAATGTGAATAACATCAATAAACATAAGCATAAACAACCCTGTTTCTCACATTTTAAACCCTTTGACTAAGACACCGCACAATGAAAACAATTGGCCGAAAAATTTCAATCCATCACAGCAAAATGTTCGCAGCAAAATGCTGAATGCATCCCCCGCGCTGCCACTCAACACACAAATTTGACAGCCTAAACAGGAAATTACTATTATCTGGCAGGCAAAGCTTTATACATCAAAGACTCATCCAAATCCATAAAGTACAGGGCCCTCTTGCAGCTTTGATAAGAGTTTGAGACAGACCAACTGTTAATTGCTAAGGTGCCTTAGTTCATGGACACACACATACACACAAAACATTATGGCGGAACTAAAGTATTTAAATATCATGTGTCTCACCTTAGCTCCAGGTAGTCCTATTACGTGTTTGTACAGGACAGAGATAGAAACAAATCACAGTTAGTGAACAGATAAAGCAAAAAAAAAATCTAAAAGTTGGTCAAACTGAATTTCCCAAGAGCAAAATATGTCTACTTGTGCTGTTATGCAGCAAAAATGGATTGAATTTAAAGAATTTCAAAGACCACCACCAAATCATGCTGTTGGTACACAAAGAGCCCATTAGGACTGAATGGTTGACACGCCATCTCCCAAACAGAATTCAGAGCAAAATAAAAGCTGCTGCAGGCAAAAGGAAAGCAAAGGAAAAGTGGCTGATTCCATCTTTTTACCGTAACATTGAGCTTCATGTGATGTAAGGCAGAGATGGATTTTTACAGAATTTTACAGTATGCTCTGTGAGTTGAAACAAGTTAGTAAAACTACACCATGAGAAGCAATATTAGTGATATTAATGCAAGCATTCTTTAAGATAGGGCTAGATATCCTTTTATGTTTCACTAATTTGGTTTTTGTCACCATTTTCCTTGGAAAATATTTCTTTTTTGTCACAAAACGGAGAGGACAAATAAGAAAAATCTTTTTTGATTACAATCATGAAGTGTCTGATCAGAAAATATTAAAAAAGATTATAAATCTGACTCAGCAACAGTGCCTGAACACTTGACAGTTTTGGATTTAAATAGGCATGTTACTTTTAGCTGGTAAAAAGTTGACAAAGTTTGATAGCCAGCCCTATTAGTGCACTGTTGATAAATTACTGTGTTATTTCTCAAAAAGCAATTAGCTTTGCTAAGAAATTGGTACATAAAGAAGTTAAATCCACAAGCATGCATTGCAAACAGTGACACTTCTGGTTTTATTGACGCTCTTCAGCCTGTCCTATTTACATTTCCAAAGCTGACTACCAGAATTTGGATATTGGGGCCTTTGTTTATCAGGAAGCCATGGCAGTTTAAAAACGGGTGAATAGCCTCCGTAAGTAGTCTAAACTCTCAGTAGAGAGTCCTGGTATTTTCCTGCCATCAGATCTGCAGAAATCCACAGAGAGGATATAGAGTAGAAATGTGAAGCTGTGTCTGCTTGACTGAGGTATTTCCTTAATGACTCCCACATGTTTTCATGATACTCAGGGAAAGAGCGAGTATTCAAACAAGATGGGGCCAAGGTGCGCCAGCTATGGAAAAATGGCAGTCAGGTTAGCATTATCCTGAAACTGTGTCAGATGTGTCACTGCTATTGTGCATTTCTCATCAATTGTTTTCCTTGGGGAGCTGACAGAACTCAAGCAAGATCTTGCCAATATTTGATACATAGAATATTGCCAAGGTTTTGTTTTCTCCCCAAAATAAACAACATGATCATGTGTAGTAATTTATTTATGAGAGGTGCGAGATAAATAAATTACAACCAATGGCTGGAGGCTGGTCAGCAGAGCAGATGGGGCAACACTGTCCAAATGGAATTTCGGGTTTGGGGCAGTCTTTTAGCTCCTCGCAGACAATTTCATCACACAGGACCATTCCGGTGTCACACACACAGATGCGACAAGGCTCTGGTTTCCATACATCCTTGTCTTTATGACGCTCTCCATCTTGTATACAGCTAAAAGCATCCTCCTCTGTGTGTGAGATCACAGTGAAGGACACACAAAGGTCCAGGTAGTTTGTGGAAAAAGAGGAGATTAAGTATCAGATGCAGAAATCAGACATTAACTCATGAACACCAGTTCAACTAAAAAACAATGAAATATGAAGTGAACCAGTCAGTTTTTCACAGCTGAGAAATACACATAGAACCGAGGCTATGCATTGGGAAATTCAAAACTGAAACAACATGAAAAAAACAACAACAAAATACCCAATCAATAAAAAACATGCTAAATTCCTGACTGTCCTGGCAGGGTGACTATGCCACAGTTAATTAAACACATGCAGAGTAGATAACGTGAGGTAAAAATCTGCACCTGTACCGATAACACTGCTGAATATTGACAGTGTGCGCTGGTTCATTTAGACAGATTTTTAGAGATAAGGCACATCTCTATTTAAACTTTTAAAGGATTAATAGACTGAAGTTCTCTTGAGTAATTGTTAATGAAGAACAGATTAACATTTAGTCAATGTAATCGATGTGCATTTATTTGTCCTTTAAGTGTTTCTACCCACATGGCAAAATCCAGTCTGTTAACTGGACTCAGACATGCAACCTCTAAACTGGACGCAGGAGGGCAGTGTAGCACCAGAGTCAAGCTGAGCAACAGCTGCAGGAGACTTCTAAACACTTCACAGGGCATGGAGACCATGCACAAAAATCTTTACCATGTTAAATCAAACCCTAACAACACCCAAATCTATTGCACAGGACACAGACTTTGCATTCAGTAAACCAAAATGTTTGGGGTTTTTTTGCACGGCCGGGCATAGAGAGTGGGGGTAATGAAGGCGGGTCTTGACTGAAAGCAGCTACTGTGCCTGGGCTGTATCATATCACTCAAGAAAATCTCACAATTGGCATACATTTTCTTAGCAATTCTAAGTGTATTTTTCTGTCTGGGGAAGATTGGCAGAAACAAGAGGCCCAAACACCTGCTGAGAGGAAACTCTGCCAGAAGTGGCTGAACCTGTGCAGGCGGGTGAGAGGGTTGACGCAGCAAGAGCCTTAAGGTACTGCAGGCTACTGAAAGGCTGATATTAGAACGTTCAGGCACAGTAGCTACATTTACCTATGAATACTACTTAAGTGTATGTAACCTAACAGACCTCAGCACCAATGAATGGGGTCTTTCTAGGAAGGGACAGTCAACAATTCACAAACTATCGCCTTGTATAAACACGGGGTGCATTTCAAACCCCATCTGGAGGCCATAGCTGTGTCAGATGCCAGTTCAAACACGTCAGAGAGAAGAAAATGGTAAGCTTTATAGTGCATACCTGGAGGTTTTGACGTTTAATTTTACAGGCCTAGATCTATCCATTGCCTGCACCTGTTTTTTTACTCTCTGAGATATGAACAATTATCTTGACTTGGAATATACCAGGACAAGGACTCTTTTATCTAGATGAGAACTGAGAGGCCGCTGGCTTTTAGTCACTGGGTATAATTTGAAAGTCTCCTCTCCTGTGACCTGGCAGCCGTGCTATTTTTCATACGATGTAAATGAACACCCTTAAAGGAATCCCTTGTGTGCAAACTAGACATTAAAGACTGATCTTCTCTCAGTTTTAATAACTTTTTAGCTTTGATCCTACTCTGCTCCTGCATACTTACTGGGAGCTGTGGACCAATAGTGAAAATGATCAGTGCAAAAGACAAGAGCTGTGTGCCCTGTAACTGACTCCAGGTAAGTAAGACTACTGTGCTGAGGCCACAGTCAGACTTAACTACTCCACAATCTCTCCCTAAAAAAGAAAGAAGGAAAGAAGAAAGAAGGGCTTTCTTTTTATCCAAACACCTATGTCTCTGAAAGGGTAACCTAACACTCTCCCTGTTTTTGCTTTGCATACTTTTTCTTTGCTTTAAAAGCTTATTAGTCTTGATTTGTTAAGTGAAAAGACTTTATGTCTCAGTAAAACAGTATGAGTTACAGTCTTTTATTTTTCCAATCACCTCTCTTCCTCCCTGGCTCTGTCTCTGGACTGACTGTCAGAGCTTATGGGTAATCTTCCAAGCAGATGGAAATGCTGAAATCACATGGAACATTATTTCTGGCCTTTTGTTGCCTCCAAAAGTCTCTTGTGGCTTCTAAAATCATCAGAAAATGATGATGGAGAATACCAACCAGCAATATTTAAAAGACAAGTTTCCAGGTGTGAAAAGAGATTCATATATCTAAAGCTTCTTGATGGATAAAAATCACAATAAGAACACTGATAGTGTTTTTTTAAAGGATATTTCTATGATTAGCCTACCTTTTTGCCTTAACAAGCCAGGATTCGCCTGGATGCCCTCTGACAGTGATGGAATGTGAGCACTTTTCACCAAAAGGCCCTTGAGCCTGACCACCTTTCACTTTTTATGCGTCCCCTCCCCCTTTTCTCCTCTATTTTAAGGGAATCTGCAGTTTAAAGGAACGTCCGTCCAAGCCCCTAAAACACTTACAGGTGTCAAGCAGGTCAACTTAAAGGAGGAAAACGCTCATAGAAAGCACAAAGCTGCAAAGATAAGAAATATCCATCTGTCTTTTTCTTTTTTTATTTGTAATATAACTATAGGTGACCACGTTAAACTTAACGAAAATACATAACAAAATAAAACACGTGTCGAATAACGTCTGAGTTCAGCTAGGAAAATAAATGGGTTCAAGCGTTCTTTTGCGAAAACGTAAAAAAACAACAACCTCTCCATCCATCTATACAGTTTTAAGCGTACCCAACACTTAGAAATATAGGTAAATAAATAGGAGTACCCTTAGCAGAGCAATGATTTCACAGCTGTTATCAGGCCAGCAGTGTATTTTTAGATAATTGCAATCAGGTTATTGTTCACTCTGTGCGTAAAAGTTATGATCAAATCGAGCCAAAACGTTTTTTTTTCTTTCCAAGTTCAGAAACACCTGTAAATATATATCCGAGAAATTTGGCCACATGAAACTTCACTGAATGCACTTTGTGATCATGATACATTTTCTTCATCAGAGCAACAAAATGTCACTTACGGTCTTCATCCTGCTGACATCTCACAACGACTAATAGACACACTTGGGTTGCTAGAAGTAGCAATACAGTCCTTGAATCCATAAAGCTGAACATGTCTAAATATTAGACATGCAGGGTCCCTGTGGGAGAAAGTAGGGTGCGAGGGGAGCGAAATCTTCTCTCAGTATTTAGTGTTTTGTGTTCCCGGTTACAAAAGACGGACCCTTCGAAAGCCACCCTTCCCAAACGCCCGATGTGGGAATCCAGCGGCAGGACCTGGACCTGCAGCAGAAACTCAGCACCGACCGCCACAAGCTGTAGTTTTATGTCCCCGTTGCTTTCAATGAAAACTCGTATATTCCCAAATATCAGTCCGGCCCCTTACCCCCTGTCAGGCTGAAATCTGAGCCCCAGTTTCCCTCCCATTCAGTCTCCCAGGTTCCATTATTCCAGCCTCCTTTACCCACTTGCGCCCAAAAAGGACTGAAACTTTTTTCCCTCCCTAATTTTGGAGGCTGTACCGACTCACCCCCACCATCTCCACTAACAGCATAATAATCAGAATACCTGTACTCCAAACGATGTGAACAACCTGCTAAAGCAGTCTTTGTAACACTTAGAGATATTTTTCAAAACTGTAAGAGATGTTCAAATGAGAAGACACCATAATTATGAATTAATATCAGTTGTCAGCTCTGGTATCAGATAATTCGGAGGAATACCATTTGAACACAAATATAATTTTGATAATGATTAGTTCATGACTTGAAAATAAGAATGACATCACAGTTCCAGTTTAATGATTGATATTCCGTTTCCCTCATCAAACATACTAGCTTTTATTAGAATAAGAATTTGATGACATCATATTACCCTACACCATATCAATGGAAATTAGTGGTGCCATCCATTTTTTCAAAGTTGAACTGTGACTTTGGGGTGTGTCAGGTTCATTTTTTGTAACTGGCTCTTGAAATATACAAATTTCATGATTTCTTTTTAATCATAAATAGATATGGGTTCAACTTTATCAACACAGAGATGTTTGAAATGATCATTCTTACCCTGTCGCTAAACGTTTCAGTCTCCACCAAGATACCAATGAGGATTTGCAGTCTTGTCCTTCCAGTGGAATTCTACTCAGTTCATTGAAGTTGCTCTGATGGTGCAACATCTCATTTAGACTTTTCGAGATGCCTGTCCTCTAGATATTCAGAGCTGTTCTGCAACCTGTCTCACAGCGTTGAGTAGAAAAGGTGCTGTGTGACAGGTGGAGAGTTTTTTTTCTTGCAGAGGAACTTGTGGAGCCATTTTTCTCAAACTGAATTTATGTAGGTACGTTGAAGAGATGCTTTGCACGTTTCTTTATTTCCCTAATTGTCATGGCAATCAAAAACTGTCACGGCTATTGTGCCTGACTGGGTCTGCGATTCAAAGAGAAAAGCTTCCCAAACTGACTGAAGCTTGCCCTACAGACAGCTAAATGCTGTACCCCTCACATAAAAGTAGCATCCCTACCAGAATTAGCAGAACCTGGGCTGTAAATTTATATTGTATAGTACTGAGGAAAGAAGACAACCAGAAAAACTGGATTTACTTTGAATGGTGATGCATAAATGCAGCAGCATTTCAGATCTAGCAACAAGCTAACTCATAGAATCCGATCTCAGTGGATTGACATTCTTTTTTATGTGACAAACTCAGATGACTGATTTATTCCTGCTTTACTACGGGCTTTAAACAAGCAGTCAAAGGTGTACTGTATATGCCTTTCCTATTTATTTTGTAATGAAGTGTGAAAGTGTGGAATAAACGACTGTGATCATTTCTCATGCATTGGCATTGTAATGAGAAGAAAAGCTTCACATCCACACATATTTAAAAACTGCTGTCTATGTGAGTAATGACACAGTGACAAACAAATTTGCTTGAATAAAATTGGGCCGTCATGGCAAAACTAATCTCAATGTCTGCCACCTAAAATGAGCTGTAAATTGTTATTAAGACTATTATTCTGACTAAAGAGCAAACTCCTGGGAAAAAAAGAAAAGCCTATTAAATCTGTTAACTGGTGGCTATTGGTGAATCTGTTTCTTAAGGAATTTCTCTCTCCAAAGTTTGAGGTTGAATTATTGCAGCAGAGAAACTTAGATCTCAGAGACCTACGCTTTCAACTGTCCCAACTTTCATCATGTCACATGTAGAGAAGATTATCAATCAATATGGCCAACAAAGAGTTTGTCCAGATTCCTTGACAGACACTTGTATCCCCCCCCCCCATCTGCATGTATAAATGGCAGAAAACTGCTTGGTTGCATCATTTATGTAGAGTTCTCGCCCTTTTGCAGGTTATGACCTGTAAGCTTTGACTCTTGACCCTCTCACACTTTATTGGAAACAAGAGCAGCTGGTGTGTCCTGACTGTGCAGCCGTCCTTCTATTCTCTGACTATGGCTGTCAGGTGGGCCAGATAATAACGCTGTAAATTGACTTTGAAAGCCGAGATAGGCTAAGACTAACCCAAAGTCAATTATGCTCAGCCTTAAAAGCAAGTGACATTCATTTTGAATTTTCACTAAACAATTTATACCTGTTTGTTTTATGAAATTATCCCTAAAAAAATGTTTTTTTTCATGTTTTATTTTCTCCTAAATGTGGTCAGAGAATTGAACAACTTATAATTTTTTCGTACTGGCAGACAGTTTTTGGCAGTTGATGTGCACAAAAAACTCGGGTCTGACAACATGCAATCTTATAATTGTTTTCTTTTGGTGATCTTGTGGTTTGGATATACAACCCACGGATCAAAGACGCTGCAATGCTACACTATCAATTACCTATTCATAGGCTGGAGACCTAAAATCAGCTGTGTTATTTAGTCTCTGCTGGTGGTAACTAACTGACTGCACAATGCACCGCATTCCAAACAGTTTTTAGATGTTTCTTTGTGTTAGACTGGCAAACACCATCTTAAGAAGAAACTTAATGAAGTGCAACATCCAAGTTGCTGGACTTTGAAAATGTCTTCAACACAAGGGACTAGTGTTTTTAGAAAGAATGAAAATACAACACAGCCATCAAATGAGCATCTTCAGAATAATCTGAGCCAACATGCAAAAATCAACAACTGATATCTTACAAAAATACAGTTTGATGAGGCATTACAGAATGTTTGGTTTGTGGGGCGTCGAAAAAAAACGATCTGCTTAAAAGGGACTAAAAGTTTTTGGAATAGTTGGTGAGTGAGGCTTTGTAGAAGTTTAGGAATGAAGTCGGCCTGGAAAGACAATCAGAGAGTATGGGAAAAAGAAAGACAAGGAAAGAGAGAAATGGAGATGGGGCAAACGGTGAAAGGAGGTGCAGAGAAACTGCAAATGTGGGAGAGGGCTAGAGGTAAGGTGGGTGGGAAAATATGAAGGATCGAGAGAGGGAGGAGAAATATGAGAGTGTAGAGAGGGTGGGACAGTGGGAGAGAGGATGAGATGCACTGGCAGGGAGAGCTTTAAGTGAAGCCATGTGAGATCCCCACAAAAATAACAAAAGCCATGACGTCATCAACTGGGTTGGCACTGCCAGATAACCTATATTAAAATAACATTCAACATTTCATAAAGTAACTGCAGTTCAACAAACCTAAAGATCTGCAGTTTCCCTCCAGCAGACTGAAGTTTCATGAGTCATTCAACCCTAACTATTTCGGAAGGGTTATTTAGCTCAGATAAATGAATAGATGGGTAGCTAATTTCATGTAGTCTTTACTTCATGTATCAATAACCTTGTGTATCCAATTAATCTCCCAATTAATCCCAGTTGTCAGGGAGCTGGCGTCCACCATAAAGACAAAGGCATACTAATCCATCATCCTCACACTCATTTCAACAGACAATTTAGAGTCATCACTTCTCCCCCAAACATGCTTAGCCTATTTGTCATAATATTTGTAACAAGCCAGACATGTAAAGGGAATACATGCTAGCCACAGAAAGGTCTGTACCATGAACCTTCTGCTGTGCGGTAACAATACCAAGCAATGCAACATTGTGATGCAGTTTAACAAACATGGTGCACTTGGTTGATTAAGTCGTTTCCTTGAATCATAAGGACCGAGGCAAACGGCCATGCTCTGCTGTTGCTCTGCTGTGGTGAAACTATAGTTGTTCAAATGTTATTCCAGAAATTTATATTCTTTACTTTGATTAATTTGTTTACATTATTTTTACATTGTTTTTACAGTTTTTTTTTTAAAATTCAGGGGTTGATTTGGGTGTAAGGGCAGTTTTGATGCTCCCTCCCTTACAGATGGGATTTGATTTTTCCCTCTACAGTGATGGAGTGATAAATGTTTTGTGCCGATTAATGTAAGGGTTTTTTCTGTTTTAAGAGGGATATAGTAAATATAAGAGTGATATAGAATATTAGAATACTCATCTCTTTTTGGGCTTTGGGGATGATCTATAATAGGATTAGGAACAACATGCAATTAAAAATCTCCTGTCTTGCTACTTGGGCATGGGTGTTTATTGATGGAGCTTGAATACTGGCTGGGAACTTGTGGTTTAATGTGTTTCCAGCTAGGTCAAATAAACAGTATCAAATAAACAAAGTGTGGTTTATTAGCTCTCAGCATTGCTATGAAAGTTTTGGTCTTGTGGGTTAACAATGTTTTATAAACATCTTTATTATTCTGAGCACGACTGATGCATTCTTTTTTTAAATGTATTTTAAATGATGAAGAATGTGCAGATGACAGCATTTAGTTGTACCTGTCCTCATGAAGAAATGCAAGACTTCAGTTATCACTTGAATGCAGAAAGGGTCCCATTTTGACCATGTCATATAAAAAACTAACTCTTTACATAGTGGAAAGAAACATCCACATCTTGTCGTATAGGTTTGTCTGTGAGTTTGGTTGAATGTGGCGTTTGTGTACCTGACTGACCCTCCGTCTGGCTTGGAATTCATCAGGCAACAACACAACACAAACATTAGTCACTGTCTGTCTTTCACAAAGACCTCAATATTTGAATTAGCAACAGTTCACACAATAGTGTGAGCCCAAGTAAAACAAGACCAAAAGAAGAATATATAATACATTTTACAGTCTGTGGTTAAAA